TATCAAACGCCCTCTCTTATAAAATTCTTTTCGGATCATTTTCTTCATAATTGAATCTTGTATTCCGTCTCCTTTATTAATTCCTAAGTAATTGTATGTACCATCTTTGTCCAGTTCCTTGATCTTGTTGTTGATATCAAAGTCTTAAGCAATAGTTTTTGTTAGTTTCCCTCCTTTGAAAGAGGGTTTGGCACATTTGTTGATTCCAAAATCCATCCTGATAACAAGTGAATGTAAGGGTTACTTTAAGTCCAAGCATCGACCTGGAGGAGGGGGATCAACGGCCAATCCTCCGCCCTCACTAAATAATGGGCTTGGGAGGCATGCTTTCAATAAAATTGAGAAAAACAGGAGAAAGAAACGGCGAGAACAATTCCAAGATCAGACAATTTATCAAGCAAGAAGATTCGGCCAACTAATTCCAGTTTCCCTGAGAGCTATAATCTCCCGCTATTCAAATGTAATGTCAATCGACATCTCCAGTTGCCTTGATCTATCCACTACGTTTCTCCTCATCCTTTCTTCTATCACTCCTATCTGATCTTGCTCTAATTTTTCTGTAACCCATTGCATCCTAGTGGCTTCCCGCCTTGCTTGGGGTGAAACGCTTAAAAAAAAAAAATAATGTCTTTGCTAAAGGTTTTGACAATGATGAGCAGGTTTTTTCTGTTAATTGTCATTCTTGGTAAACGTTTTAAGATCATCAATATATATATATATATATATATATATATATATATATATATATATATATATATATATATATAAATAGGCCATTCTGTTTGCAATTCTGTGACTTGTATCCGTAGCTACTGATTGTCGCTAATCCAAGTCAGAAAAGTAGTGGTGACAATGAAAGCGAAATTTCTAATCACTCACCAACGCGCTCATATATATATATATATATATATATATATATATATATATATATATATATATATATATGTTGTGTGTATTTAGGCAGCATTTTTTCAATGATGGATGTTTCATTAAATAATATAGACAGGTTTTGTATATTTATTTTATGTAAATTCTTTTCATATCATCTGATAAGTTCAATAACATTATCATTACAGGGCGAAATAAAATCACAATATTGATCCATATTTTTTAATCCTATCTAAGCTTTCGGCTTACATAAGCCATTATCAAAGATGACAATTATATTACAATATATTAAGCAATACACGGACAAAACAATAATGATAGTCTGTTTATGTTTCCATGGAGGATTTCCAAGCAACGACAAACTCGTGCATATAAGACGCTGGAAGCGAAAATCGCACCGCAGTACATGACGTCACACATGACCACGCGAGAGTGAAAATAAGAAGTATTACGTATGGGAAGCCGTTGGTATAAACCAATGGCCTCTGTTATGAATTACAGTTATTTAAGTATATTCATAGAGATTTCATAGTTTATTTTGTTCAGGTTAGATTTCAACTGTTTTATGTATATAGCTTCAAGAATGTTTAGTTTTTGTTTATTGTTTACATGTTTACGTATACTTAACGAGGATTTTCCCGAATTGTGTATGCGGCCAGGTATTTTTTTAAATGCCTAAAAAGGTTAAAGGATAATTCTAACATTTTGAATGGTATAAAAAATTAATAACCTGTTTTTAAAATTAAAATATGATTGGTTTCACCCTTCACCCTTGAAACTGAAGTCTAAAGATCCAGATAAAAATAAAGCGGTCTGTTTTTTTTTTAAATTAAATTGTTCGCTGTGATTTAACATTGAGCTCTCCGCATTTCATCCTCCTTGGGATTATCCATACGGATTACCAAGATTTTCGTTACTTAACTATATATATATATATATATATATATATATATATATATATATATATATATATATATTGATAACTAGACTCGTTTCGAAAACCTCGAATTTTTGATTTGATAATCAATCTCGAGGGAAAAAAAGGTTTTAAAAAAAAGAAAGAGCTACAAACATGAATTTCTGCCGACAAAAAATCGCAAAGATGCAGGTCTGGAGCCCAAAGAAAAAACCCCGATACGAGTAAACAACTAACTAACAAAAGAGCTCAATACATCCGTAGAGCAGACCTAGATACACCTAGTGAGCCAGACAAACCTACCTAGGTTTCACCTATATATATATATATATATATATATATATATATATATATATATATATATATATATAAAACTCAAACATTAATATTCCATGAGCTCTGATGAATTGGATCGTGATTACGATTACAATGTAATAAATTATAACGATAGAATGTTTGAGCCTTTTGCATTATATTCTTACTCTATCCTGGACATTAAGCCCTACCTGAATTCTATATTCTCGAAAATATATATATATATATATATATATATATATATATATATATATATATATATATATATATATATATAGAGAGAGAGAGAGAGAGAGAGATATTGACCACTGATATTATCAAAATATATATGAAAAATAAAACATATTTTTTTAAAATCCACATTACAACCCAAAACGTTTGCTTCCCCATATATATATATATATATATATATATATATATATATATATATATATATATATATATATATTAATTTAAATAAAACAGACGACTTTAAGTTTCCATGTAATAAATTATTTCAGCACAGCCCTTTTAAAAGGACTGCGGATCATCAGACTTTACTTCCAAACAAAAAATGAAAAGAAAATTTACACATTTATGACGGGCCGTATTAAACATATTTAAATTAACGAAGTGAGGAAGTGAGGAGGGGAGAGAGAAGACATGAGTGAGTGAGCAGACATTGACATATTTAAACGGTTAACTAAACGGAAGTTATATATTGAAATCGAAGGGGTAGAGAAGAAAAAAACCATAGAGAGAAAAAGAGGGAAGGAAGTTAAGAGAGAAGATGTCACTAATTTTCTTTGAGCTCTCTGGATTTTATCCTCCTTAGGTTTACCCATACGGATTACCTATTTTTTCATAAACTATATATATATATATATATATATATATATATATATATATATATATATATATATATATAGTTTGTGCAAACTTAGGTAATCCGTATGGGTAGACCTGAGGAGGATGATCTTAACGTGGTCTGTTTTTTATACGACACACTGGGGTTAAAAATAGGAAATTGAAATGATACATATGACACACTCATATCCTCTCATCCGCCTCACTTCCTCACTTCGTTAATTTTACGTATACTTGATGAGGTCCCTCAAAAACGTGTGAATTTCTTTTCATTTTTCATTTCAGCTTTTGGAACTAAAGTCTGATGATCCAGAACCCTGTTAAAGGGGTTATGGTGAAATAGCTTATTACATGGAATCGTCGTCTGTTTTTTATTCAAACAAATATATATATATTTTTTACTTTTTTCTATTTTTTTAAGTAAGAATTTAAATTAATTATGATTTATCATCACATAGATTTAAATTAAAATCAGTTGGGTATTTATGCTGAAGTTTTTTATTTCCTGAAAATTTTTATTTTCTGAAAATGAAATAAAACAAAATAAACCCCAAATTACGACAAAAATTAAATTAATATCAAAAGAAATAAATAATTACATAAAAATCATTAAAAAGAAAAGAAAAGGAATAAAAAAATTTACGTTAAAATTCATTAGGAAAAAAAAAAGAATTTACGCTGAAATATTTACGTTAAATCCCTTATACGTTTTATGCTTCTACGGAGCCTCGAAAAACACGTCATATACCCGCGGAAACAAAACTCTTTATTATTATTATTATTATTATTATTATTATTATTATTATTGTCCTTCTTCACCGTCTTCTTCTTGACTACCCTCGTCCTCTCCTTCTATATCTCCGTCTTCCTACTATTATTATTATTATTATTATTATTATTATTATTATTATTATTATTATTATTGTTGTTGTTGTTGTTGTTGATGTTGCTGTCCTTCTTCGCCGTCTTTTTTTTTCTTGAGTAGCTTCGTCCTCTCCTTCTATCTCTCCGTCTTCCCACTATTATTATTATTATTATTATTATTAATTTTCTTCTTCACTGTCTTCTTGGCTAACTTCTTTTCTCCTTCTACATCTCCTTTTTCTTCTCACTTGTTATTATTATTATTATTAGTAATAGTAGTAGTAGTAGTAGTACTAGTACTAGTAGTAGTAGAATTGTCCTTCAAACTGTCCCTTCTTCTCACTTGTTATTATTATTATTATTAGTAATAGTAGTAGTAGTAGTAGTACTAGTACTAGTAGTAGCATTGTCCTTCAAACTGTTCTTCTTCGATACCTTCGTCTTCTTCTATATCTCATCTCCCCGCTATTATTTTTATTATTATTGTTCTGTTCCGCCGTCTTCTTCTTGGCTTCCTTCGTCTTTTCCTTCTACATCTCTTTTTCTTCTCACTGTTATTATTATTATTATTATTATTAGTAGTAGTAGTAGTAGTAGTAGTAGTAGTACTGTCCATTCTCGCCGTATTCTCTTTGGTTACCTTAGTCTAATCTATTTCCATATTTTTTATTATTATTATTAATGTTTTACTTTTTTTAACTGACTTTGTTTTTCTTGTTCTTCATCATCTTTTTAGCGCTTATGTTGTCATTATTATTGTATTTTATTGCTGTTCTTCCCTTTTATGTCCCTGCAATTCTTACAGTTCTCCTCTAATTGAATTTTTTATTTATATTTTCTTCTTCTTCTTCTTCTTCTTCTTCTTCTTCTTCTTCTTCTTCTATCCTTCTTCTTCTTCTTCTAAAAGTCTCATATTGCCTTCCGTTATATCTTGACATTCTTTCTGATAGTCTCTTCAATCTCATAAGAAAAAAAAACAGTGATAAAAACGTTTCTGCAGGCGTTTCTAAGCAGGATTTTCTCCCAAGGCTTTCTTCACACACCTCCTCTATCTGCTGTTAGCCGAAGGCCATTTTCACACCACTGAATTTTTAATTTTCTTTCCGTAGATGAAAAAAAAAAATAATCGAAAGAGATGAAGATATAAAAATAAAAATATAAAAGCACATACACGCACAGGAAAAGGGAGATAATTTAAAATGGCAGACAACAAAAATGAAGAGCTTTCTGAAAAGATAAAATGGCGTCAAAGAAATAAACAACTCAAAACAAAATCAGTTTTTTAACTGGAAGAAAAAAATAGAAAAATACGAAAAGAAAAGAAACCCGACGATTTAAAGAGGAAATATGACGTCATCAAACAAATGGCGGGCGAAATGAAAGAAGGAATAACTTTAATAGTAACAATAATAATAAACAGAGAAGAAAATATAGTAAAGATGGATGAATAAAAAACACGTAAAGAAGAAGGTAAAAAATTAATTATAAGTTTTATACAAGTGACGAATGAAACTTAAAAAAAAAAAAGAAAAGAAAAGAAAATCGTGTGAACAGCCAACGGCTGAGTTTCTTTCGCCACAGGTGTTTTGCTTGGCGATTTTCTTTTCTTTTCTTTTATTTTTTGCTCCCCGAGGGAGAATTTGAAACGACTCCATTTTGATGAATAAACTGAAGTTGTTTGGTTGGTAAGGAGAGAGTGTAGATGAAGATGTGGGTGGCGTAGGGTGGGGAATAGAGGTGAAGTTTATACGAGAAATGACAAAGAGAGCCCGAAACGTCAAATCGGGTAAAAATTAATTTAAAAATTTTAAAATATATAAAGAAAACAAATCAATGAAATAATCAGGGAGATAAAAGAATTAGAAATGCAAGTGAACAAATATTCAAAAGGATAAATAAGAAGACAGATAGTGTTTTATATATATATATATATATATATATATATATATATATTATAAGGCATCATTCATATAAAAAGGAAATTAGTAAAGTTAATGATATGAAATGGCGAAATCCCTTCGCTAACTAAACTTAAAAAAGTCATTAACCCACTGGCCACTCGATGAATATTATGATCCTTGATTTTTTTAATTATAAATTGTATTAGTTCTTCCTTAAATATGCAAGTTACTGCTTTGAAACTACAAATTTCTCATGATTTTTCTCTAATGCTCATATCTGTCCGAAGCATTTCTTAACGTAAACAAATGGCGTCATATATTATGAAATGGACTATGTCCGACAATTATTTTAATATATTTATTGTTTACTAGCAGCATGGTCTGGCGTTGCCTGTGCTTGATTCAAAAATCGTACGACACATCTCTATGACGCTTCCTTGCCTTTAAAGGAGTGCCCTTTGCCGTGCTGATTTTTTCTAAGCTCTATACAAAACATTAAATCTGTTACGAAAAAAGAACTAAACAAAATGAACACAAAACCATCAGCTTTAAAAAAATGGACTCGTAACTGGAAAAACCGAATGAAAAATGAATGTTAACAACAGATACTTTTTCACACCCAACCCAGTTCTGCGGAATCAGAATCAACGTTGAGTTTAAGCAAGTGAATGAGCCAATTGGAGTAAAGGGCCATGCAAATTTAAATTTTTCCCACTTGTGACGAATGTAGCTATCGATTTTTTTATTTTTTACATGCTAGTTAACATTCGTGTCAGTCAGCTGTTGGCTCTCACTCTGGCCAAGAGAATCTTCCTGCCTATTCGTGGCAGCCAGTTATAGTCTCTCTCTCTCTCGCTCTCTCTCTCTCTCTCTCTCTCTCTCTCTCTCTGGCCAGTAGAAAATGACCGCAAACTACATGAAAACTGCTGTAGAAACATGAAAAAATCGATTATTTCCACTATCGTTGATAGTTGGGAAATGCAAAGTCGGTCGTGGCCTTCCCGCTAACTTGGATCATGTGCATGTACATTTTGGTGCAAATCCGTCGAAAATTGTGGCCGTGCATTCGTTACACACACACACACACACACACACACACACACATATATATATATATATATATATATATATATATATATATATATATTCAGATGATAATAGTTTCCTGATACAAGTCATACTAATTAACCTATAGCTGGAGAAGAGGTGGACTGAAACATTTCCCTACGGAACATAAGTGAATGTAACGATTCCAGCTGTAATTGCAACTCGGCACTCCGATTCAAAATTCTGACGTTTTATCCATTCCCCACCCTTACACCCAAACTGACAGAACCTGGTATTCCGTAACCGTCACTCATGTGCGTACTGACCAGGCTCGACGTTGCTTAACTTCGTTTGATTATAAAGTGAAATAGAAACAGAAATCTCCTGCATGGAAAAAATGGTTCATTCTATCGAGACAGACAATGTTCCTTGCTAGAATCTATATTAAATATTTATAAGTCTACCATTCGTCTGTGCATGGAGTATTTCTGTTACGATTGACCTGGTGCATCTGCTACATATTTAGATATTCTTTAGAAAATACAATAAAGAATCTGCAGTGTTATCGGCCCAAACCTTGCATCTCGGCTTCAGTCAGTTTCTCATCACAGTGACGTAGCTTCCCTGTGTCTGTTCTATAGATACTTCCATGTTAATTGTTCTGATGAACCTTTCTCTATGGTAGCTAGACTTTATGGATTTAAGTACAGTACCCAGTTATGATGAATTACGACTTTGTGTTAGCACAAACAAGGACGGCTTTGAAACGGTTCTGTCTACCCAATTTCACTCACAAGGCTTGGGTTAATCTGTAGTATGATTTTCAGGCTCTTTCCAAAGATGCTATCAGCTGGGATCACCTTTCTAGGCCAGTAACATCAAGAAACAACCTCCTCCACGAATTGACCATAGTAAGATTTATCCATCGGTCTCATAGCCATAAGGCAAAATTTTTAACCGGGTTGACCATGCGCTCATCAAATTTTCAGTTTTATCCAAAATTATTGGTCCTGGCCCGACATCTCGGCTTCAGTCACTTTCTCATCGTAGTAACGTAGCTTCCCTGTGTCTTTTCTATAAATACTTTCAAATTAATTGTTTTGATGAACTTTTTTCTATGATACCTAAACTTTATGAATTTACGTGCAGTAGTCGGTCAAGATGAATTAGGACTTTGTGTTAGCACAAACAACGACGGCTTTGAAACGGTTCTGTCTACCCAATTTCACTCACAAGGCTTGGGTTAATCTGTAGTATGATTTTCAGGCTATTTCCAAAGTTGCTATCAACTGGGATCACCTTGCTAAACCAGTAACATGAAGAAGTCAGCCCCTCCCCGAATTCGCCATAATAAGATTTATCCATCGGTCTCATAGCCATAAGGCAAAATTTCTAACCAGTTGACCAGGCGCTCATCAAATTTTCAGTTTTCTCCAAAGTTATTGGTCCTGATCTGGCATCTCGGCTTCAATCACTTTTCCCACCGCCGTAACGTAGTTTCCCTGTGCCATTTCTATTTATATTTTCTTGCTAAATGTTCTCGTGAACTTTGTTCGATGCTACCAAGATCTTATGTATTCAAGTGCAGTACTAGATTGGCGGCAATGTCTTTTTTTTATAATTGAAATGGCAAGCGTTAACCGTAAGTTCTATGCTGACAGTTTCTTCTATCACACTACTGGGACTTTGTTCCGGATACTTGCTTGTCAGTCAAGATCGATCTTCAAAAATGTAAATGCAATATCAACCGTTATTTTCCTGTTTTTTTTTATTGTTGTCTCTTTAACAATGCCACTTTTCCACGGACGTAATGTAGCTTTGTTGTACTTTATCTATAAATAATTGCCTCATAGTTGTTCTGGCGAACTTTCCTCTATGGTACTTAGATTTTACGTATTTAAGCGCCGTACTCGATTGCTGGAAAAGTCTGATCATTTTCCATTTCAAATGGCTACATGTTACCGTATGCTAACAATTTCTTCTATTGCCCTTCCGGGATTCTCTTCCGGTTAAATGCTTGTTAGTCAAGATCGATCTTCAAAAATTTAAATGCAATATCAACCGTTATTTTTCATTTGTTGTATTGTTCTCTCTTTAACAATGCCACTTTCCCACGGACGTAATGTAGCTTCGTTGTACTTTATCTATAAATAATTGCATGAAATTTGTTCTTTTGAACTTTCTTCTAGACTTTACGAATTTAAGCGCCGTACTCAATTGGTGGAAAGGTCTCATCATTCTTACAATCCAAAACGCTACATCTAACCGCAAGTTCTATGCTAACAGTTTCTTCTATCGCACTTCTCGCTTGTGGAAATCTATTTCGGCGTCTTGCTTTCCAGTCAACTTACGGATATAAGTTTTTCCTCTTCATCATATTCTTCTGGTCTTGCTCTATCTGACTGTCATCTTTTCATATCATTAAAACATCTTTTTAGAGGTAAATAATTTATTTATTATGAAGACGTTGAAACTCATAATGAATTCCTTTTTTTATGGAAACCTGTAGAATTCTACGGACAAGGAACATATAATTTGCCAAATATATAAAACAATCTTATCTACAATGAGGGGAAATATAATCGGAATTAAATATACCGATTAAGACCAAAGAATCATTTTTTTTTTCAGATTTCAAATGCGTCAGGACTTTCTTTCCAACATAATGACGTAGAAAGATAGGGTGGAAATCATCGAACAAAATTAGATATATAACAACACACGCTGACTATTTTCCTCCTTTGTTGTTTTTTATTACTTTTCGGCCGGTGTGCCCTCCGGCCCGCTTCGGGGATCATCGTTTCAGGTGATTTTCAGAAAAATTCGGAGGGAACACTTTATTAAATCGATAAGGCAGGATCGTTTTCGATCCGCTGAATATGTCCGGAGATATCTTGTCTAGTTATTATTTAGTATTTTTTACGTCCATACTGCCCAGGCTCGGGACTGAACTCATAATTAGCATATTACCAATTTCAAGAACTTATGCTTAGATTTACTTGGCTATTTTCCTATTATGCTTGATGATGATTAAATAAAGGCTCCCGTTCGAGATTCGCTGAAAATTAACCTGATTTTCCAAAACCTGGTGAGGGTCGGAAAACTCAACGACCGCTTCCGAGTAATGTACATACTTTCAATCTACAGCGGGGAAATAAGAATCTCAATCGATAATAATCCTACAGAACAAAAAGCATCTGGGAGATGATTGACAAGTCCCATATCCACTAATTCCGGTTCATTTTCGTATATTACGGCCTTGAGTTGTTCTTATCGCGAGCAGTACTTGATCGAATTAATCATTTGGTTCTCCGCATAGAAAAATAGTTCATTCCAGATATTAAATATAACGCAATAAGACAATCCACTGTCAAAGGTGCACAAAAATATTTCGGTTATTTCTACTAATCTAGAAAGCATCCAGTCCTGGGTAAGACGATAAACTACATCTGCGTCCTGGGTAAGACGATAAACTACATCCACGTTCTGGGTAAGACGATAAACTACATCCGCGTCCTGGGTAAGACGATAAACTACATCTGCGTCCTGGGTAAGACGATAAACTACCTCCGACAGCAAGGACTTTGATCAGGAAGTTTTGAGGAGCATAAAACCACCTCTTAATTGTTGGTGTTCCCTGGACCACCCTGACCGGGGGTGGTAGCACTTGTTAGTGTCCCAGCTATGGGCAAATAGTTACTCCCCCC